TCCCACAAACCAGAGTCCTTTTTCTGAGTCATCTCAATCCAGATAGCCTACTTCACTACGCCACGTATTCATTCTCCTCAGGGACTGTCCCAAACAATGGGGAAAACTGATTCCTCAATTGCATACCTCGAACATTTTACCAAAGCTTCTCCCAGGTTTTGAAGCTGCCTGACTGGTAAGGAGAGTGAATGTAATTCTCAGTAGAAAACCTTTCATTATCTTTCCTGGTCTTCCTGCCCTCTATCTCACTGCCTCCAGAATCTTAATCTGTTCCTTTCTTTCCCTTCTTCTATGAGTGATTCAGGTATTGGGTGAGTATCTATGGTTTGTTTTGCCCTGAAGAGCAGAAGGCTTCGGTCCCAACTGGTGTTGCCAAAGCAGCATATTAATTCCATGCCATGGTCCTGGGTCAAGATCTGCACAATCTGACTGGCCATGTCACCTCGGATGGTAAGGGAGTGGAAGTGGTCAAAATCATGGAGTCCCAGCTTTCGGAGACGCCTTGCAGCTGCTCGGTAACACTTCCAGGGCTGCGGCTCCACAAGAAGATAGCGGCAGAGGGAGGAAAGATGGGCAAGGAACTCCCACAAGCCATGATCTCCATGGTTCAGGTGAATCCACATGGTTATCGACATGCAGAAGCCAATGTCAAAAAGTGAACGTCCAAATTGGCTTAAGAAAGAGTTCAAGAGAACCTTCCGAGTCCTTTGATTCATGAAGTCCAGGGTGATAAAGGTCAAAGCATCAGGAAAAGGACATTCTTTTTCAGCTCGCTCCACCAGGACTGGATCAATGTCGCAACAGAGGAGACGGAATTCTTTTGAGGCATCTGAGCAGGTCTCCCCATCACGTAGGGAAAGGAAGTGTTTGTAAAGAGCCACACTCAGATCCTAGAGGAATCCAAAAGAGCTTTGTCATTGCAGCTCTCAACCAGTGGATGGAAGAGAAATCTTTCTCTCTCATTCTCCCACTGAGAATGCCACTTACCCCTGGATTTACAGGATGTGAAGCTCCTAAGCTATAACCCAAGGAGGTTGTGCAAAAGTTTTCCACAGAGCAGGCTCTTAGGGCCCTCCAAGGGTCACAGGCTATAATGCATCATCCCTATATTTTCCTGACACTGTAGACTGGGTTGAAAGTTATAGTCCAATGGGTGGCAGCAAAGGCACCTAAAGCAGTATTTTACAGCTTAAGGAATATGCTGGTAAAGAAAAAACAAAAACAGAAACTAACAACCCCCCCACCCCCCGAAAAAGAAAAAACAAACAAAAAAAGTAAAGAAAAAAAGGAAAAAAAAATTTTTAAAGGTGATATACTGGTAAATTTGCTATCTTTTTCTGGGTATCTCAGACTCCAGGGAAGAAGAAAGGTGTCCAGAGGCACAACCTGTGTCCCTTACCAGGAAGGTGAAGAATAGAGCAAGCACCACCTCATAAAAACCTGCTTCTCAGACCTGTGATTGGGAAAGTCTGGATTCCAAAAAGTCCTCATTCAGCCTTCACTCTACGGCTTCAATTTTACTATGTCTTATGCTTCACCACCTCCTTCTGAGACTTATTCTGCTTCTGTAATCATTACTCCCCAAAGTCACTGCTGACAAGCTTCAAGCCAAATCCTGTATTTGTAATTTTTACCATCGTGGCAACTTTTTGACTCTTAAGGAGGTCACCATCTACTTTCTCTAAATTTGATTTCTATAACCATCATAACTAACTCAAATTTGTGTTGTTCTATATAGTTTTTTCAAGGGATTTTCCTTCCTTTCCTTTTCTTTTGGCAGCTGGCCAGTACAGGGAGCCTTTTTTCTTTTTGGGGGGTGGGGGCAGCTGGCCAGTGCAGGAATTGAACCCCGGACTTTGGTGTTATCAACACCACCATCTAACCAACTGAGCTAACTGGCCAGCCCCAAGCATTTTCCTATTCACTACCTCATTTGCTCTGTGCAAGAATCATGTGAGGAAAATATATATGCCTTTTGTGTAGCTGAAGAAAATGTATGAAGGAAACCACTCAGATGTCCAATAGTAGTAGCATGGACAAATGTGGTATAATCATTAAGATAGAACACTAAATAGCAGTTAAAAATGAGGGAACTCATCTCAGTGCAACATGATTAGCAGAAATATATAGTGCTGAATAAAAATGCAAGCCATGAAAGAAAATATATAGCAAGCTTACACTTATATGAACTTCAAAAATCATAAAATTAAACTACATTGTTTAGGGATAGAAAAATCTCTTTAAATTATTATAAATATTTATAGTAAGCTATAAAGAAAAGCAAGGAAACATAATAAAAGTCAGGTTAGTTGTTAGCTCTGGGTGGAGAGGGGGGTTTATGAGCAGGAAAAGGCAAATTGGGGACTTCCGGGGTTCTGACAATGTTTTGTTCTTGATCTGGACAGTGGACATAAAGGTCTTTACTTCACAATCCATATGGCGTAGACTTATGTTTTATGCACTTTTCTGTATGGCATAGTTCACACACAAAAAAACCCTGTCTTTTAAAAACTATGATTTGGAGGCCAGTGACTTATTTGTACAATGTCACATGGTTAGTACATGGCAAGACTTAGGCTATGTGAGGTTCTTTTCTCTATATCAGCTTCTCAAACTTTAATGGTCTTACCAATCACCTAGGGATTTTGTTAAAATAAAGATATTGATTTAGTACACCTGGGGTGAGTGGTAAAATCCTGTACTTCTAATACGCTGCCAAGTCATGTCAATGCTGTAGTTCAAGAATCACGCTTTAAGTAGCAAGACTCTATACTACACTGCTTAATTTTCTCTCCACCTCTATTTACTTCTTCGCTATCTTGCTCCTACTATCTGATCTTGGATGCGGCCACACGTTTGACCAGTCCCACCATCACATCAGTCCTTCTTCAACCACATCTCTTCACCCTCTCTATCCTAAATTCCCCAATCCTGGAGTCTCTTGGAAGCTTAAAAAAGAAAATACAGACTCGAGGGCTTCATTCTCCAAGATCCTGATTCAGTAGGTCTCAGGCGGGGCTTAGAAGTCTTTAAAATTTTGGGGGCTGGCCCGTGGCTCACTCGGGAGAGTGCGGTGCTGATAACACCAAGGCCACGTGTTCGGATCCCATATAGGGATGGCCGGTTAGCTCACTGGGTGAGCGTGGTGCTGACAACACCAAGTCAAGGATTAAGATCCCCTTACCGGTCATCTTTAAAAAAAAAAAAGAAGTCTTTAAAATTTTTTAAAAACATCCTAAATTATGGAATATCTATGTAATGAATTATGAAACTATTAAAAAATAATGCAGTGACATGAATGATCTCCAAATCATTAAATAAAAAGCAAGGTGAAAAATAGTGTGCAACTATTTGTAAAACTAAAAGGGAGGGAATATTTATACATACATAAATGCTGGTATAACAAGTCAGGACAGATACCCAAGAAATTACAAACAGTGGTGCCACAGTGTGGGGGGGAAGGAGGATTTAGGATTGAGAGTAGAGACTTACTTTCTACTGTATTCCCTTTTATATTCTGAATTTTTTTTTGTTTTATCAAGTAGAAGCATTTTTTAAAAGTGCAAAATAGAAAGCTCCTTAAATGTATGGCCAGGTTTGGGAACCACTGCCCTAGTTAATTGCAACCATGTCCTTGCTTCTAATGTGCATATATACTACTCTCAAAATTAAAATCTCCAGTGGTTTTCTACCGCCGTTTTATGAAATCCCAAACCTTAAACCTACTCTCTCTTTTTCATTGCTTTTCCCCTGATTTCCTATATCATCGCAGTAGAGAAATGTTTGCAGCGGATAGCCGGATACCCATCCACACTCATTCTAGCCTTTAGACTATATACAAATGGCCCTCTCCCCCTTATCAGCTGTACCCTCCACCAAAGACTCCCTAGCCAAAGGCCATCAACTCGATAAAATTCTCTGCACCCCCATCCTCCGCTCCTGAAATGGAGTGGTGGAGGGAATGGAGTGAGAGTACTAACTTTTAAAGCATCTGCAATCATAGGGTCAGACTCCTTGCTCCTCTAGGATATCCCAGTGGCTACAAATAGGTGTGAGAGACATTTCCTTATTTTACATGTGGTTTGACTATATAATCATTATATGCCTAATATGTTACGGTAAGAAGAGTGGCAATGCCTCCCTCCTTCACTCCCTCAGGCAAAATGCTGTATTTTCCTTCTATTCATTGCTTTTTAAGTAAACACGCACGTGGCTTCTTGGTCTGCCCTGCACTGTAAAGCACACACGAGTCCAGGCATGATTCTGTTATCCATAGCTCATCTCTCCCAGTAAACCAACTCCAACCCCACACTCCAAAACGTGAGTCTCCGAAAGCCCGCTCTCCCCAGCAAGGTCGCCAGCCACTCCGGACAGGAGGCAAGCGCCGGAAGCCCAGATACGGTGGCCCTCCCCACCCAGGGTCTGCAGGAATTCGGAACGTAGTTGAGAAAGATTCCTACCCAAGATTCCTAAGAGAGATGGTGGTGGAATCCTGGCGGACGGATAGCAGCACCACGGGTTCGGTCAAGGCTACCCCTTACGCTCATTTTGGGCAAGTTCTGAGGGGTGTGATGCCACGCCCAGGCCAGAACCACAGTAGACGTGGAGGGTGGAGGGAACCAACCGCCTTGGCTCCTGATGCTCCGATCCCTCCCCCATCACTCACCCCGGAGTTACACCCCACGTCGAGCCCCAGGATCGGCCTCGTCTCGGGACTCTGAAGAGGGAAGAGCCGTCGAAGCAGCTCCGGGGGCAGCAGGCGGAGCCGTTGCTCCGGAGGGTAGAAGCGAGAGTAATAAGGGAAATTTCCGAACGGGGCGGCTCCGGGTGCCAGAACTCGCGGTTCCTCCTCCGCCGGGGCCTTCTTCACTCCCCCTCCAACCAACTTCGTGGACGCCGCCATTAGCTCCAGTCCCGCCTCTGGGTGCCGGCGGAACCGGAAGTGGGAACTGCGGCTGGTGAGGCCATCGCGGCGCGTGCGCCGGGTGGTGAGGGAGGGGGGAATGGGAACCAGCGCGGGACTGGGCGTGCTGACGTGCCGGGCTTCCGCTGTCCTGTTGAACCCTCACCGCAACCCTACGAGGGGGTTAGTAATATCATCCACATTTTACTGGGAGTAAAGAAGCGGTGAGAGGTTAAGTGTCTTGCCCAAGCTGACATAGTTTGAAACTTGAGCTACTTGACCCAGAACAAGGAGTTTGTTGGGATGTTGGAAATCAGTTTTGGTCTAACTTCCTTTCTCTACAGACACATAAAGTGAGACCCAGAGAGAAGAAATTATTATTTTGGGGTAACATAATGAATCTGTGACACAGGAACTTGCACCCAGGTCAGGAAATGGTAGCCAGGAGCTAAAGGTCACTTGGGGTGCCAGAAGACTCAGACTGTCCTTCCTACGAGGAGCAACAGTTGCATGGGGCAACTGCAGACTATGAGCTCCTCGAGAGGCAAGGACTATGCCTGAAGAGCCCGCACTTAACGGGTGCTTACCAGGCACCAGACACTCTAAGTCCTTTATGTGTATTAACTCCCTTAATCCTCACACTAATCCCGTGAGGAAAGGACCATAATTATTACTTTTATGTAGATGAGGACATTGGGACACAACGAAGTCCAAGGTCATGCAGTTAGAAGTGATAGTACCGGGATTCCAACCCAGGCATTTTGGCTCCAGAGGGTGTGCTTCCAACACTGTTATTCTCAGTCTTGAATCCCCTGTGCTTACCATAATGCCTGGCACAAAGACGCTCCACAAAATATCTGTTGAATGAAAACTCAGTAGAGGATGCAAATAGGCAACTAAAGACAGGTCTAATTGGGGAAAACTAAAATGAAAGGGAGAAAGGAGCCGAACTGAAATAGACTTGGTAGGATGGAGCTGTTGAATGAAAACTCAGTAGAGGATGCAAATAGGCAACTAAAGACAGGTCTAATTGGGGAAGACTAAAATGAAAGGGAGAAAGGAGCCGAACTGAAATAGACTTGGTAGGATGGAGATGGCAAGATGTGAACTGAGCCAGAGATTGGAAAAAGCTGGTAAAGAGAGAAACTGAAGGCCGGCCTGTGGCTCATTCGGGAGAGTGTGGTGCTGATAACACCAAGGCCACGGGTTCGGATCCCATATAGGGATGGCCGGTTTGCTCACTGGGTGAGCGTGGTGCTGACAACACCAAGTCAAGGGTTAAGATCCCCTTACCGGTCATCTTTTAGAAAAAAAAAAAAAAGAGAGAGAGAAACTGAGGTGTCAGCCTATAGCATGTTCAACTCAGAAGCCAGGATGGCCCAGAATATGCAACGGGATCAGCTAAGGGTCAACAGAGTTGTGCTGACCTCTCCCTACCTGATGAGCCCATCTTCGAGAGGCCCCCTGATGCATAAGGCCAGCAATTTGCTAAACTTCTTATAAGGGACTGAAGCATGACTCCTGCAGACAGTGTCATCACTGTGTCTTTTCTTCTCAGTTTTTACTTCATATTTTCATCTCTGCCTGATCTGCTGTTTCACTATCTTCTTATAAGATTTGGAAGATAGAAGTCATTGTGGGATTGAATATAAAAAATTTAAAAAAGAAAAAAGCCACAGTGGGATTGAAAAAACCACAGTACTCTGCACAACTTCCAGAAAAGGGGGGTGGGAGGAAGCAACACCATTTCTCTCCAGTTTTTGACAGATTTTGGTGAGCTTAGCTTACGTCATTTTGTTACTAGATGACGGTAGCACAGACACTTGACAACCCTTAATTTTCAAGAAGCAGGAATAACCTTGCTTTTGTAAACACTTTTTTCTTTACTTGTTTAAACATGGTAAACATATATTTACCAGTAAAGAGTTTAATTTCATCAAGGACATGGGCATGTTTTGAGTTCTCTAAACACTGTTCACTAAAAGAAGACTAGGAAGCAGGCTCAAATGGTGAATGGCAGATTCCTCCTGATCCTGGGATTCCTCCAGAAGCAGATAGGTGTGGGCCTGGTAACTTTACTGGTGACTTAAAATGTCTCAGAGGTGACCCCATAAAGAGGCGTTTTCTTTTTTTTTTTTTAAAAGATGACTGGTAAGGGGATCGATCCCAACCTTTAGCTTGGTGTTGTCAGCACCACGCTCAGCCAGTGAGCTAACCGGCCATCCCTATATAGGATCCGAACCCGCAGCCTTGGTGTTATCAGCACCGCACTCTCCCGAGTGAGCCACGGGCCCATCCCAAGAGGCGTTTTCATTTAGCTCACTGCGATGACTTTTCTAACCTGTCCCCATTTTTCAGAGGCTGATCAGCCCAGAGGGTCTGACAATACTCCACTCCTGGGCCTATGGCCTGAGTAAGCAGCCCAACATCTCAAATAGCTGTAGCAGCACCTGAAAGCTTGCTCTGCACTCTGGTCAGTGAGATTTTGCAGAGCCTGATGCTTTATACAATTTGAGGCGGGGGTGGGGGTGGAGGGTGCTGTCCTTAAGGAAAAAAAACCCTATCAGATTACAAATGTAAAGATAGGTATGAAAGTGAATATTTGTTTATAATGAGAAATCATAACAAATTACAAAAATTTAAAAGGTGATGAGTACCAAAAACATCACAAAAAATTCCTATGATAGTTTGATTAATTAAATTCCAGTCACACTTGAGTATTCCTTTTCCTTTTGGCTACATACTCTTTAATTGCTTCTTATGACAATAATTTGATAATACCATTTTAGAGAGAGAGAGTGACTGGAAAGATAATTCAGTCTTTTCTTAGCATGGTGGACCAAATTTGTCCTTAATTTTTTATTTTATTTATTTTTCTAGCAGCTGGCCGGTATGGGGATCTGAACCCTTGACCTGGGTGTTAAAAGGCCATGCTCTAACCAACTGGGCTAACCAGCCAGGCCCCAAATTTGTCTTTTATTATTTGGTAGATTAAAAAAGTTCTTTCAGGTTCACAAGTTGTTATTGACAATATCATGTAAGTTTTTAGGTTATCAGATTGGGGGAAAACCTTGATCAAATTTCTTTCATCTATGAACTGTGAGGTTTCAGAGCATTTCAAGCTTTCTTGTGCAGGAACTAGTCTTAGATATACTCTTCAAATTGACTATACTCTTTAGTCAATTTATCTTTGAAAACCTCATTATGAATGGTGTATTATAAGTTTTTTACTATCTGCATTGACATCAGTAATTTGTGTCAAGTCATCAAAAAATTTAAACATTGGAATTCTGATAAATTATAGTTTGTACAATTCCTATCAAAAAAGAGAAGAATATGGGCCGAGCCCGTGGCGCACTCGGGAGAGTGCGGCGCTGGGAGCACAGGAGCACTCCCGCCACGGGTTCGGATCCTATATAGGGATGACCGGTGTGCTCACAGCACTCACTGGCTGAGCGTGGTGCGGCTGGTCTCAAAAAGGACAAAAAAAAGAGAGAAGAATGCATGGTGCATTTATAATTATATATGCTGTGTTATTGAGTATATTGCTGAGAGGACAAAACTTGTTTTGACTGGTTTCAATAAAAGATGAAATCCTCTGCTTATATTTTTGCATGGTTGATGACTGGAGAATTTTCTTCAGACTAGCTTCTGGCTTCATATATTTTCAAACCTTGATTCTCCTCCACTCCCACATATTCCTGTACTAAGTGCTGTAGGGCACGTTTATATCTTAATTTGACCTCTGGCTTTGCACCTACAGGTAACAGCACCAGGGAAGTCAGTGTGGTGGGTGGATAAGAGTACTCCTGGCTGGGAGGTATTTCTATATCTGGGCAGCAGGTAAGAACTATGCATGGAAGTGACTGTAAACCATATGAATAGATCTCAAATGGAGTATATTTCCAATTAAACATCCCTTTAGCTGGATCCCCAAAATGCCTGTGGCCTCTCCAGGGTCATCTAACACAAGGGGAAATGTGAAGGAGGGAAAGCTGAAGAGGAAATAGACAGTAGCCTTAACCAACACGAGTTAAAATATCTTACTTTTTCAAATTTTATAAAAACAAACGACCTTGTGAACACACTGGTAGGGCCTTGGAAGGGTCCTGCATGGGAGTGAGGACCCTGAAGCTTGAGCTTCATTACTTCCATAGTAAATTCATCATTGCCCTGCACAGAACATGCACCCAAGTACAGTTAAAATGAAAAGGTAGATATGGAATTGGAAATATCCAATTTAGGAATGACTCACATGCATAATGGTTTCTAGTGCCTCCCAAAGGAACCTTGTATAGCTGACATCCTAGCCCATGGTCCAGCCCATCCTACCCTCCTGTCCCTCTTTAATCACACCCAGAACCCTCTGCTCAGTCTCTGCTCTCCCACATCACTTACTGCTTCCAACGTAGGGCTCCGGGGCCTCGGAACTGAGGATTAAACAGGAATTATGTGGGTGTTTTTTTTTTTATTCTATTTTCTCACAGAAACAATGTTCCAACAAAGGACTTGTACCTGAATTTTTGGAACACAACCCCAAAAATTGGGAATTTTGTCTTTGTAATAGTTGAGAAATTTTACAATTAATCCTTGTAGAGTTTTAAAACACTAAACAATAACCATACAATTTGTGAATGAAATGTTACAGCTGAAAGGCAGCCAAGAGAGCACCCATTCTAAATCCCTCATTTTCAGATGAGAAACTGAGACCCAGGAGGTAAAGACAGCTTTTCCAAAGGCAGGGCCGAATTGGTCAGGGTAAGTGAAGTGCTATAAAAATCAACCCCCAAATCTCAGTGGTTACCATAATAAAGGTTTTTTTTTTTTGTCACCCATTCTAAATCCCTCATTTTCAGATGAGAAACTGAGACCCAGGAGGTAAAGACAGCTTCTCCAAAGGCAGGGCCGAATTGGTCAGGGTAAGTGAAGTGCTATAAAAATCAACCCCCAAATCTCAGTGGTTACCATAATAAAGGTTTTTTTTTGTTTGTTTGTTTTGTTTTCCTTTTTTGTCTTTTTTCGTGACCAGTAACGGGATTGCAACCCTCGGTGTCGCGCCCGCACCGCGCTCAACCAGTGAGCGGACCGGTCTCTATATGGGATCTGAACCCTCAGTGGGAGCGCCGCCACACTCTACCGAGTGCGCCACCAAGCCGGCCCCATAATAAAGGTTTATTTCGCCCTATGTCACAGTCCAATGTGGGTCAGTGGGAGAGGGGGAGGGTACTCTGTTTCTCAGAGACTTCATGGACCCATCTAGAAGCTCTGCCTTTCTTTGGAGACTCAGAGATCTCCAGCAAATTCCCTGTATTTGGCTGCAGATGAGGGAGGAGAGAGCCTGGAGAATCTCAAGGGAAGATTCGGGGGCCCGATCCAGAAGAGACATTTCTCACTCCCACCACATACGTTCCATTGGCCAGAACTCAGTCCCATGGTCCACCTGGATGCAAGAGGGGTGGGAAAAAGAGTCTAGCAATGTATCCAGGAGGAAGAAAACATGGATTTAGGAGAAAACTAACTAGTCTCTGTCCAAGAAAGATGGAAGAGGAGGAAGGGAGTGAATATTTGTAATATTGACCAGAAGATTGGCACTAGGCTTTTATACATTATTTCATTTAATCTGGTCTAGACTTCAGGTTCTCCTTGTTCCCACATTGGTGTATGTACATATGTATGTATGTGTGTGTATACATATGTGTATATATAAAAGAATATGTATTATATTTTATATATATGTATGAGAAAAGAATATTTCTCAAACTCCATCTCTCTCCCTAGAAACATTTTAGACTCCAAGGGGCTCATTAACCAACAATCTATCTTCATTAATTACTGAGGTGGAGAATGAATATGAGGATCTTTTGGACAGACTTTTTGTAACCTCTCCTTCACAACCTAAATCATTTTCTTGTCCCTTTTGAAATCCCACAGAACCCACAGGTGATTAGTAGCTAATTTCCTCATCTATTTTCAGAATCCCCCCATTTCCCCCCTCAGATAAATAATTTTCATTGCATCAGGCAGGGTTCTTGGTTGCAAGCAACAGAAACTGGCTCTGGTTGATAAACACAAAAGGAATTTATTGAAAGGATATACAGATGTTCATAGATTGTAAAAGGAAAACAGGAGAACCAGGCTTGAAAAGGGCATAAGAGACTTCCAGTTAAAAGTGGTGGACTGAAAACACACACACACACACACACACACACACATTAACTTTTACTTTTCAATGTAACTCCTCTAAAATGATAGTAAAAGATGCAAACCCTCAAGGATAAAGAAAATGGGAGAAAGGACAACAGCAACAAAATGTGGGACACTGGAAAGCAGAAGGCAAGCGGTAACAGACATAGCCTACCAAGAGGGCTGAATCCTAAGCCACTGGAGGGGAAAATTAAGAAGCAACACAATTGATACTATTGAATCTCCTAAAATTTCAGGAATTGGTGCCAACAGACACTTCTGGTAATATAGTGAGTAGATGTGTCTCAAAAACAGAGGAACGATTCCTTTAAACAAATGGTGCTTGAATAATTAGTTATCAATAGATAAAATAAAAGAAAAAAAGAACTTCAACCTAAACTTCACACCGTATGCAAAAACTAACTCAACAGAGATAATAGATTTAAATGTTATGCTGTGTAAAACTATAAAGCTTTCAGAAGAAAACATAGAACATCTTCAAGACCTAGAACTTGACGATGAGTTTTTAGATATGACATGAAAAGCATGATTCATAAAAGAAAAAAAAGTGAATTGGACTTCATTAAAACTAAACACTTTTACTTTGTGAAAGATCCTATTAAGATGATTAAAAGACAAGCTACAGATAGGGAAAATATATTTGCAAACGACATATCTAACAAAAAATCTGTATCTAAAATATACAAAGAACTCTTAAAACTCTATAGTAAAAACCCAAATAATTTAATTAGGAAATATGCAAAAGATCTGAGGAGGATATACAGATGGCAAATAAACACAAGAAAAGATGTTAGGCATCACTAGCTGTTAGACAAATGCCAACTAAGACTACCATGAGCTATCCCTATGTAACTATTAGAATGGTGAAAATAAAAAACATATTGACAACACCAAATGCTTGAATGCTTGGATGCAGAGAATTTGGATCTAGGATATATTGTTGCTGGGAATGTCAAATAGCACAGGCACTCTGGAAAATAGCTTCTTATAAACAAAAACAAAAACCACAACTAAGCATACACAAACTAGAACGGCTACAATGAAAAAGACAGACAATAAAAAGTGTTGACAATAGAACAGTAAGAGATATGCAGATATGGGAAGCCTCATACATTTCTGGCAGGAAAGTAAAATGGTACAATCTGTTTGGAAAACAGTTTGGCAGTTCCTCAAGAAGTTCAACATAGCTTTACCTTATGACTTAGCAATTCCATTCCTAGATATATACCCAAGAGAAATAAAAACGTACCTCCACACAAAAACTTACACACAAATGTTCCTAGCAGCATTATTCATAATAGCCGAAATGCAGAAACAACCAAATATCCATAAACTGTTGAACAGATAAATAAAATGTGATTTATCCATATTATTTGTCAATAAAAAAGAATGTGGTATGGATACAGGCTACAATAGAATGACCCTTGAAAATATGCAAAGTGAAAGAAGCCAGTTACAAAAGATCACATGTAATATGATATCATTTATATGCAATGTCCAGAATAGGCAAATTTCTAGGGACAGAAAGTAGATTAGTGGTTGTTTAGAGATGAGAGGGTGGGTATATGGAGTAAGGGAATGAGGATTGACTGATAATGGATATGGGTGTTTTTTGGCAGAGGGACAAAAATGTTCTAAAATTAGATTGTGGTGATGGTATGGTCACACTCTCTAAATATACTAAAAATATCAAATTGTATGCTTTAAATAGGTGTATTGTATGTGAATTATATCTCAATAAATCTGTTTTTTTTTCCAAACTGGTCGTACACTTACCATACAACCCAGAAATCGCACTTCTGAGTGTTTATCCTAGAGAAATGAAAACTTATTCTACACAAAACCTGTACATGAATGTTCACAGTAGCTTTATTTGTAAGAGCCCCAAATTGAAAACAACCAAAGTATTTTTCAATAAGTGAATGGTTAAACAAACTGTGGTATATCCATACCATAGACTATTACTCAGCAATGGAATGGAATGAGCTACTGATATGTGCAACGACCTGGATGGATCTCAAAGGCATTATGTTAAGCAGGGGGGATACACTGTATGATTCAATTTATATGACATTTCAAAATGGCAAAATTATACAAACTGGAAAATAGACTAGTGGTTGCTAGGGGTTAGGGATGGTAGGGGGACAGATCTGACTATAAAGGGATAGCTCAGTGGAAATGTTTGTGATGAGGGAATAGTTCTGTATCTTGATTGTAGTGATAGTTGTATGACTCTGCATGTGTCATAAAATGTCACAAAATTACATACACACATTGTACCAATGTTAATTTCCCAGTTTTGGTAGTACACTATAATTATATAAGATGTAACCATTGAGAAAGACTGGGTGAAGGGTAAACAGAAACTTACTGTACTATTTTGTGATTTCCTGTGCTCTATAATTATCTCAAAGTAAAAAGTTAAAAAGAGAGAAATTATTAAAGAATTAACATAAGAAGCAGTTATGACCCCCACTCTCTCCCCGACCAATGCAGCCATCTGATGGTGTCCTTCTCCAACCCTGGCAGCAAAGTGGAGAGCATAAAACAGAGGGTCTCTGGTCTGGGGGACACCAGAAAACCAGATAACAAGCTTAAGTGAAACTTTACACATCGAATGCTGAGAACTCCAAATTTCTTGCCCTGCCACTTTCCAGATAACTGTCAGCCAGGATTATACCCATAAGGTGGGAGGTTTGGAGAGCCTCCCTGGATGAAGATACCAACATCTGAGTTTTCTAAGGAAATAGCCCAACCTGAACACTAGCTAGTGAAGCCCACAGAGACAAGCCCCACCACCAGCTCAGAGCTTCCAATCAGCTTTTTAGTGCCCCATTTACTCTTTCTTAAAAGGAAAAATTCAGGTATATGTGACAGTAGAGACAATGGTATAATATCTTTTATCCATTACCCAGCTTCAACAATTTTTAACATATAGCCAGTGCTATTTAGTTCATACGTCTGTTCACTCTGCCTCTGCCCCAATTATTTTAAAGTAAATCCTAGACACCATGTTATTTTATCTGTAAATACACCTCTTTAAAGGACCCTTTTCTTTTTAATATAACCACAATACTATCAACACCTAAGATGCTTTAACAATAATTTCTTAATACACATATATCTAGTGAGTGGTGAAATTTCCCTGGTTGTCTCATATATGTGTAACAGGGATATATAAATAAAATAGTTGGTTTATTCAAATATAAGGCCCACACATGGCATTTGGTTGATATGCCTTTGATGCTATAGATTCTCTTCCTTTTTTTTTTTTTTTTTTAGACTTACAGTTTATTTGTTGAAGAAATCTGGTATTCTGTCCTGTAGAGTTTCCCATATTCTGGCTTGTGGGAGTCATTTAATAAGTTTCTCAACCCTTGTATTCAATATAAACTGTTGGTTAGCTCTAGAGGCTTGATCAGATGCAGGTTTGGATTTTGGCAGGAAAATTACCTAAATGGGGATGGACTGCATCACATCAAGAGAGCCCACTCTGAAAGTAGAGCAGATGACCCTAGATCATCAGACATTTGAGGAAAGTCTCCAACATGAAGGAGAGTGTCCAAAAAGCCTAGAAACAAGCAAGTCAGAGGAGCAAAGACTATACAGAGAGAAGAAAGCTTCCAAAAATGTCCTGAAATATTGATATTCTCTAACTGGGATATTGTATCCAAGAAATAAGCTACAAAAAGAACATTCAATCCAGGTGATGGTTAATGTGTGTTTACCATGAAATTACTTCAACTTTTCTGTATGTTTAGAAAATTTCATAATAAAATATTTGGAAAAAAATTTTAAGTACTATAACAACAACAGCAGCAACAAAAGACCTCTTGGAAATTAAAAATATAATAGAAATGAAACACTCCATAGAACAGTCCAGAAGATAAGGTTGAGGCAATCTTTGACAAAATAGAGCAAAAAAAGGCAAAAGATGGAAAATAGTAGACAAAAGAAAAAGAAAAAGCCTAGGAGGTCTGACATCAAAATAATCAGAGTTCCAGAAAGAGAAAGCAGAGAGAACTATCAAATTATCTATCAAAGAAATACCAAGGAAATAATTCAAGAAAATTCCCCAGAAGTGTAGGGCCCATCATGTGCCAAGTATAACGGATGAAAATAGTTCCACAGAAAGACACAACATGGTAAATTTTCATAACACTGAGGACAAAGAGGAAATTCTATGTTTTCAGAAAGATTTAAAACAAAATAAAACAACAAAACAGATTTTATACAAAGTATCAAGAACCATAGTAGCAGTGGATTTCTCAGCAGCCACACTGGCAGCTAGAAGGCAGTAGAAAAATGCCTTGAAAATTCTGAAGAAAAATGATTTCCAATCATTCACTCTATACACAGCCAAATGATTAATTGTGAAGACAGAATGAAGACATTTCCAGATATACAAGGAGCCAAAAACATTGTCTCCCATGAGCCCTTTCTTAGTAAGCTGCTGGAGAATGTTTTCCACCAAAAGGAGGTAGAAAATCAACAAGGGGAAGTTCATGGAATCTAGAAAGCAGGCTTCCAAAAGAGGAGAGTGGTGAAAGGAATTCCCAGGATGGAAATGAAGGAAGATTCCTGGACAAACAGCAAGGCAGCAGATCTTCAGAGCGATCAGTACAGGTTAGAGCAGTCAGAAGATTCCAGAAGAGATTCCAAGCGTCAACAAGATGAAACTGATAGAACACTTAATGTATCTGAACATATTGAGAGGCTATTTCCCCACTTAGGGGAGAGTTGAGAAATAAGTTATTAATAAGGACATAGAAAATTAAGCAAATGAACGAACAATAACAATAACAGTGATTAATTTCCAGTAAAGCAAAACATTGTACAAGAAAGGAGAAGTAATCATGGTGCACTACATTATTCAGCGGTCAACAGGCTTACGGTCTTGATATGTAAAAACTGAATATAGATCAATCCATAATTATGCATATAACCAAATTAGAAGGACAGGGTAGAGATGGTGGGAGGTAGTGGGAAGCATGTGTGTGCATGTGTGTGTGTGCCCATGATTTCCATCTCTCTTTCCCAGTTTGTTACTAATCCTCTCTGATCTGACTGCTGTCAAAAGACAAAATAACAACAAATTTAGTTTAAAGATCTTAGCTGGCTTTATTTGCGATTCTAGAATCGGGCAACGCTTCATTCCATAGAATAGTGTTCCAGTGAGCAGAGCACAGTAGTTTGGTTTAATAGACAGAGAAGGGCTGAGGAAGGAGAAACAAAGAACAAAAAGTGGGTTGGTCATTTCAAAGTTACTTTCTTTGTAAGGCAGGAACAGGGAAACAGAATAGAGAAATAACTGATTGATTAACATTAGGTTATTTCAGATTACCTGTTTTTGTAATGATTAAAGCAGACTGAACTTCATTTTCAGGCCAATTGAAACTGGCCTGTTTAGGAAATATGGCTGTTACTTCTCTCTCCTGATTTCTCCAAAGGTCAGGTAACAACTTAGTTTCAGTTTGGTGACATGGAACCTCAGCATGATTGACTCCATTTTGGGTTTTTTTTTTTTTTTTTTTCCTTTTTTGTCTCTTTTTTACTGACCGGTAACGGGATCGCAACCCTCGGTGTCGCGCCCGCACTGCGCTCAGCCAGTGAGTGGGAACTGGTCTCCACATGGGATCCGAACCCTCGGCAGGAGCGCCGCCGTGCTCCCAAGCGGTGCACTCTCCAGTGTGCCACCAGGCCGGCCCTCCATTTTGGTTTTTAGTCTGGTCTGTTGGGGCTCAGTGCAGGCATTTAGCCCAAAACAATGGCCTCCTATAATTTTTATTTAACACTGCCCTTTTGCCTTCTTCAAACTAATGTTCCAAGCTTTCTATAATGCACACATATTAGTTTTATAATCAGAAAAAAAAAAAACCCAGTACAGGTTATTACAGACAAAAGGTTAGGAATCATGTTGCCAAGCATCCTCAGGTTCCCTTCTTAATTCACCATGGACTCTGCATCTGTGAATGTTTCTAAGTGATATTTGAGCTTACTTATGTTTTCAGCATGTGCTACTACCTGGGCATAATGAATTCTACAAGGTCACCCTGCTGTACAAAGTATTTCATAGAATCACAGAACCTTACATTTTCATTTATCATCTTTCAAACCCACAGGATTCTCTGCATTCAAGACTTTCAGGGCCGGCCCGGTGGCGCACTGCTACAGTGCGTTGCTTGGGAGCGCGGCGGCGCTCCTGCCGAGGGTTCGGATCCCACATACAGACCGGCCGCTCACTGGCTGAGCGAGGTGCAGGCGCAACACAGAGGGTTGTGATCCTGTGGCCGGTCCCGGTCCGGTACGGGCGCGACACTGAGGGTTGTGATCCGTTGCCGGTCACGAAAAAAGACAAAAAGGAAAAAAAAATAAAAAAGACTTTCATATGTGTTGGGGACAACATGGCTGTGGTGAGGTCTGTGAAGGGAAGCAGTGGTGGAGGACTGGAGTCTCTGGGGTTAGTGGGTGGCAGAGGAGCTGGTAAGAAATAGGGAAGGAGAGGACTGGTAAAGAGGAGATGAAGAGCCATTGCCTGCTGTGGATGCCAAGGGAGGACAGAGTGACTGTCACATCCCTGCTGAAAGCCCTCAAAGGCTCCCTGTTTCTCCAGAATAAAGTTAAAATCCTTACATCTTATTTATTTACTTATTTTTTGCAGCTGGCCAGTGTGGGGATCCAAACTCTTGACCTTGGTGTTATCATCAATACTGTGCTCTGACCAGCTGAGCTAACCAGCCAGCCCCACATCTGATCTTCGTGAACTTGAATGTGCAAATGAATCACCTGAACCTCTTGTTAAAATGTAGATTCCAATTCAGCAGATCTGGGGTGGACCTGAGGGTCTGCCTTTCTGGCAAGTTCCCAGGTGATGCACACTTTTGAAGAGTTAAGGCCTCAGATGACCCAACTGAGACTGACTTCCTGTCTGTTTCATCAGCTTTACCTCTGCTACCCACTCCCCACCGCACTCCAACATCTCTGTTCCAGCTGTTCCAAACCACTCACAGTCCCCTGATGTGCTGGGTGGGAGCTCCATGTCCCCTCACATGCTGTTCCCTGAGCCTGGAATCTACCCTCCCTCCCCCCACTCACAACTCCCAAGTTCCCCAAGACCCAGTTCATGCATATCCTCTTTTGTGAAGACTTCACCAACCACTCTCCTTCAAAAAGAGTGAACATTTCCCTCCCACTACCTAGATGCACATCTATTACTGCCTTTATCACACAATATTGCAATTTTTGGTTTACTATGAACCCAGTGAGGAGATTGACCATGTCTAATCTTTGTGTCCCCAGCATCTGGCACAGTGCCTGGTAGCTAAATAAATGCCACCTAAATGAATGGATGCTTTTTTAATAAAGAAGGATTAGGTTCTCAATAATGTACAGTTATTGGAGCAGGAGCACCAGCATCACTTTTTCCACATAAAAACACATGTGGAGATTTAATTCAAACTTAGCTACACTGAGAGCGAGCTCTGGTGTGGAAGGTTTCACACTGACCTCACCCACACAGACTCCATGAACCATCGGAGGCAACAAGTGAACGGCAGGCAAAGGAAATGGCTCAGGTGTCAAAATTGTTTTTATTCTTATCTCCAGTCAGTCACAGACCCCGGGAAGGAGAAGCCAGGGAAGGGAACAGGCGCAGAACACTGGGGAACTTGGAGAAGCTGAGGCCGGAAGGTCAGCAGTTGTGTCTAGGGGTGCAGCTCTGTCCCTGGTGCTGTGTCTCTGCTCTCAAACACCCAGGAGAACAGCTCAGGGGACGGGGAGGTGCAGGACATGTAAACAGCGTCCAAGAGACACGACAATCATTGGATGAAAGGGAACAGCTGATGGCTGATGAAAAGACAGGTCTGGGGTGGCTGGTAGCCAGATCCTGTCCACAAACCCCAGCCACCCAGCCCCTCGTTTTCCCTTCTGCAGAACCAGGCTTTGCTTTTCCTCCAGCAGCCACAGGGGGACAGCAAAGTGCTTATGTAAAATCCCAACCCTGTGGGACAGAAAGCAAGCTGCAGAGCCTTTTGGAATAAGGTTATCTGTCCCATTGCTAGTCCCCCGGGAGGAATTGTAGGCAATGGAAGAATCAAGGTTCTTGGAGCTTCCCCATGTGATACAGAAGGAGCCTCACCTGTGCCCAGGAATTGGTGCAGGGTGTTCGGGGACTTGCGTGCCTCCCTGGCCCCAATCTGCATCCTCCAAGAGAGGACTTCATCTGTCCCCCTCAGCAGGAGACCTCCAACCTCACAACACAGATGGCCAGATTCCTAGCTGCTTCTAGCCTTATAAAATCAACCTATCCCTTTTCAGGCCCAGCCCCTCCCCAGCCAAGAATGTGAGGGCCTAGCAGGCTTCCCCGCTCCTCTACAATTTGCGGCACCTGCCCAGCTTTGGTTTCTTGTAATCCTGCATTCCTGCTCCCCGCCCTTCCTCCTTCCAAGATCCATCCAGGTGTTCCTTGGGTTCCTCACTGCCTGGATCGGAGGTGGAAGGTACAGGCCTCAGCCCTGGCCCTGCTACCCGCTCAGCCGTGCCTGGTCCCCCTCAGGAGACTGCAGCCCCCTCTACTGGACCTCCCCACCTCCACCATGGAGCCGTCTTTGAGGTGGCTGTGATTCAAGCCCATCACATTGTTTACAGGCTAGGGTTTGCCCCTCCCCCAAACTTTTGGTGCTCAACCTTGGATAAGTATCTCATTCCTCAGTTTCTGCATAAGGATCCCAGGCGGAGGAAGAGGACTTGAACAAGTGGTTTCTGGGAAGCATGACTGAGGCCCAGTCTGCAAATGGCAGGACAATGGGAGAAGGGTGGGAAGAGGGTGGTAACCTCTCTAAAACCGAGGTCAGGGATTAGGAGAGGAACTCAAGGGGCCTCGGAGGAGAGGAGGCAATTGAGTGAGGAAGTCAGTGAAAGTAAGTGTTCTGGTGCCTCTCACTGCCCCATCCTGTCCATGGACTTCCATCTTGCAGATAGGAAAACTGAATCATAGACAGCAAGAAACACTTGCCTAATACCACAAGCCCATTGGCAGTGAGGCTAGGAATCAGAAACCAGAAATCTTGCCTCCCAGTTTATGGTGGGAAAAAATCTGGAGGAGGGCGGAGAGAGGTGCAGCGTGGCACTGAGGATTACAAATCCCCAGAGACATCAGGGCCTCTCTGGCCTTCCATGCAGTCTCATTTCCACTCCCACCCAGTTCGGGGGGTGGGAGTGATGCCTTTTGGGTTAGGCAGCTGTGGGTCTGAACCCCAGATCTGCACTGGCTGGCTATATGAACCTAGACTCATTAACAAGCCTTTCTGAGCACCTCGGCTGTTCCCTCCACATGGAGATGTGCAGAGCACTGCCTTTGTAGGACTGCTGTGATGGATTAATTTAGACCAGCACACAGTGGACATCCTACCCATGCCCCGATGGCCTTGACCTCATACATACACTACCTGCAGTTCTTGTTCCTTCTCTCCTCAAATACACAAGGTGGAACAAAACTTCAAATGCTTCTGCAATATTTCTTAAAAGCTGGAGGTTGGAAGGGTGGGGAGTGGGTGGAGTCAGGAACAGATAGATAGCATACCTTGTCACCCTTCCTGAGGGCAAACGGAGCCCACAGCATAGGGGAAGAGAAGAGAGCCCTGGAGAGAGAGGTAAAGGGAGCCTCCCTGTCTCCACCCAGTAACTTTCCACTGGCCCAGAGTTGGCCATGCTGGCTGCATGCTCCCCCCAGGTGTGGGCCCGGGTCCCCTCCCCAGCAGGCACCCCGCCAGGGGGCTGGGCAGCTGACGCACACCCTGCCTAAGATCTCAGCCATCTGGAGGCTGATAAGGAGCCCTGGCCTCATCACAAGGAACCAGCTGTAGGGATTGGCCCTGGCTGTTAGCATCAGCTGGACAGCTTCCAAACTGGAGAGATGCAGAGATAAGGAGGGAGGTTAGGACTCTGGGCTGAGTGAGTGGCAGGGAAGCGAGGGGAAGGGATGTGGGCACTGCCAACTACTAAGACCTCAGGAGGCCTGGCTGGGGATAAGCCAGCAAATGGCAGCAAATGAAAGAGGGCTTAGGAAATAAAAGGTGCAGAAGGGACTAAGCCTTGGGGAAGGACGGGGGCAGGGCAGGGTTCCCTCTAGATGGGGCTGGCCCAGCAGCTACAGCAACTACCTCCTCCCCCAGAACATCCAGCCAGAGGGCCCAAGCACACCTCATTCAGCCTCAGGCCTGTGGGAGCAGCCTGGGAGTGGATAGTAGAGAGTGGGAGGGCATGGGTCTTAGTCCTACAACCCCAAATACCTCCCAGGTGGACACAGGTCTGGGTGGACTGGCCATACTGCAGAGCCTGGACCTCCCAGTAGGCTGCCCTGCTCCCACTTCCCTGGGAGCCCCAGGACAACCCCTCACTTAGGAGCAGGGCTCTCTGCCCCTACCTCCTACCGTCACAGTGCTCTGTTGTAACCCAGGAGGGTAAACCAGGGCAAGCAGCAGATGGCACTGGCTTCCTGCCCCTTTCCCAATGCCCTGGGCTCCAGGGCCCAAGTCCCTAGAACAAGCGGCTGGTCCCAGAGCTGAGAGAAGATGGGCAGTCTAGGACAGCCATTCTGTCTACCCACATCCCCCCACCTACAGAACACCCTCCCCTCATCTCCCAGCACTGCCCCCACCTTTTCCTTACAAGGTGTCAATGACTGACCTGAAAAAGAAAGAGAGGGTAGACTGGACACAGGACAGTATGCCCCAAGGTCACATGGTTGTGGCAGCCATAGGAGAAATCTTGGTGGGGGCACAGGTCTAAGTCAGGCTTCCCGGGGTGTCTTTCCCACATCTGAAATCCTGCTAGGCTCTTCCCACTTGTCCTTGGGTCATCAAGCCCAGAGGAGCCTTCAGCCTTGCCTGTCCCATTTGGAACATGTAATTTGGGGGAAGGGGTGGCACAGGGCATGGTGTGGCCTCCATTCTGCAGGGCCCAGGCATATGTACAAGCTGCAGAGGGTGCGGGTGAGGGCTGGGCTGCGGGGAGTGAGTGGCTGGCTGCAGGCTAGGCTGGCAGCTAGTTTTTTATCTGTTCTTGCAGGCACAGGGAAGGGTCAGAGGACCAGGGAAGGAGCATTCTTTGGAGGAAGATGGGGGTGGGGAGGGCTCCTCATTCCCGGTTGGAGCCAAAAAGCTGAAGGAAGAAGGTGAAGATATAGATGATATCCAGGTAAATGTTGAGGGCTCCAAAAATATACTCCTCGGGGCTCAGCGAGTGGCGTCGGTTGCCCATCAGCAACTGGGTGTCAAATGCCAGGAACTGGGGGAAGCAGGGAGAGAGAGAAAGAGGAGTCAGAGGTCCAGTCAGGGTGACATTAACTAAGGTGGCCCAGTTCCCCTCACAGGCCCATCTCTGATTTTATTGAGCTTACCTGCTGCCTGGCTGCTCTGTGACAGCCCGGAATCTGGAATTTTCCCAGCACCTTCTATCCCTACTTCTGGTCAACACCTATTTACTGAGCACCTACTATGTACCAGGCATAGGAATACAGCAGAGAACAAGACAGACCGGATCCCTGCCCTCATAGAGCTTAGAGTCTTCTGGGAAGTAATTGTTAGTATGATGAGTGTAACCAAAGGGAAAAACCGAGAGCCATGGGGAACTGTGTTATGAGTGTGGCAGGGAGTTAGGGAAGGCTTCCTGGGCGAGGGGACTGCCATTCCCTCAGAGCACTGTCATAGTGAACAGGGACTAACCACTAAATGACACGAGCCCAATGAGTCCTACTAACATCCTTATCGAGTAGGAATCGTATTGTTCCTGGAAGAAATGGAGGCCAGGATGTGAGCCTGAGCAGGCTGGTTCCACAGCCCCCATGCTTGACCATTCTGCTCTGCTGCTTGTGGGCAGCACCCAGGAAACAGGCTCTTCCCTCGGGTGCCTTCATAGCCTAATGAACTATGAGCAGATTCCCTTAGAGATAGCTCCTCTCTGCCACCCACTGAGAGCTGAAAAGACAGTGAGGAACACCAAGCCGTGCCTGCCTTAGGGAAGCTCGCAGCTTAGTGACACAAAGATAATTGAAAGAAAACCCGGTAAATGTTATAATTCGGGCAGTGGAGAAGGGAGCTACTGATTTGGCAGGAGGAAGGTATCCCAGGAGAGGAGACATTTTTCTGGGGCTCGAAGGATGAGTAGGAGTCTGCTAGACTGAGAAGATGAAGGTGAGCCCTGGAGGCCTGGGGAGCATGATGTAAAGGGTGAGGAAGTCAGGGACAGAAGCAGTGGGGTCAGAAGCTAGAGGAAGAAGGGCTGGAATTGTCCCTCAAAGCCTGCGTTTTGCCCTGTAGGCCTGCATACCTGCCACCAACTGTGTGACTCCCATGACCCAGACTCCTTGGAGTCACGTTAGACTCCAAACAGCCCCATGGAATCCTAGCAGAATCCCTGCCACAGTGCCAATGCCCCTAGTGCACCAGGACCAGGGGCTCTAACAAGGAGTGACTTGTTAGACACATGGGACATCGAGGCAGGTCACCCCCGAAGGTGGGGAGGCAGGGGTGGTTATGAGCACAAGCTTAAGAGTCAGACTGATTTGGATTCCCATCTCCGCTCCACCACTCACTAGTTGTGGGACCCTGGGCTGGGCATTTAATCCCTCTGAGCCTGTGAGTCCCTGACTGTGAAAGGGAGACCAGAGGGCTTGCCTCCCGAGGTTGTTGTGACAGTGAGATAATGCGCACATGGCACCTGGCATGGGGCCTGGCACATGGTGGCACTTAATGGGTGGTAGCTATTAATGTGGTTTTATTGTTATTAGCTGCAGAAGGAGAGGGAACCTCTCGAGAACACGCATATGCTGCTGCTGATACTCAGGTGTCTCCTACATCTCATTAGGGAGGCTGACACGTCCCTAGGGGGAAGGTGTGCAGCCCTAACAGAAGAAAAATGGGCAGCCGTGGCAAGGGCTGATGGGCCTGCACAGGTGTGTCCGGCTCCTAAGCTCAGTGGCCTCGAGGGCAGGGCATGGAGGACCCGGGCTGGTGTCGGGACACCTGGCTTGAGGCCTGGCTTCACTGCTCAGGAATCAAGTCACCCACTTGACCTTGACCTCACTGTCCTCATCTACAAACTGGGACAGTAATAATGCCCACACCAGGGTGAGGCTTTGAGGGTAAATGTATGACAGTGTATGTGGCGTCGACTATTATTATTCTTAAGTATCATTTCAGTCCATTCCACTCTGCTCCTTCTGAACCGGATTTGGATTCCCAAATTCTCCTTCTGTAGAGAAAACGAGTGAGTGGAGGGACTGACTCAAATGCTACAGGCTGCTTAGCAGTCACAGCTGCCAGCACAAGTTAATAAATTGCTGATCTGGCTTATCAATCAGCAGTTTGCTTGGTTGATTTCCCAGAGCCTGGTCACCCCTGGGTGAGCTAGTGAAATTGAATCTCTCAACCTAGAAGGCTTGGACCCAACTAGGTCTGGGGTGGCCCCTCTGAGGAGCACCCACCCAGGATGCCTCCTATAGCAACCAACTGGCTTTTCTTTTGAGGAGAAGAGGAATGAAACGATTTCTCCTCCTGCCCTTGGCCTATGGCCATGCATGCCTCTCTACAGGTGCCATCTGGGATGGCCTGTCCCAAATTTCAACCCCAGTGCCCAGTATCACCCATCACTGCAACCTCATGCCTGAATCAACCAAACTCTTTTCATTCATTTATTTCCAACAATATTTACTGAGAACCTACTATGTTCCAGAGAACTTGCCCTCATAGAACTGACAGTCCAATGAAGGCAAAAGACATTATCAGAGATTCCCTTATGAGCATGCATTCATTATAGGGGAAAGTGATCTACTGATATCTCCTTGGGTGATGGAAAGCATTGTTAATTAATGTCTTGGTTGAGAGCAGATATCTTGTTTATAGTTAACATCTTAGCTGGCAGCAAAGATCTTTGTTGACAGCTAACACCTGGTTGACTGCTAACACCTAAAGGACAGCAGGTACTTGGGTTAGGAGTCAGACCCTGCAGGAGGAGCACGTGGGATAGGATAGGTCAAGAGGCAGCAGTGGGGCTAGGACACTGTTAACTTATGTATGAATAGTCCTTTCACATGCTAATTTATCTCATCTCACTCTCCCAATTTGCTCTAGGAGGTGCGTATTAGCACTATTTTTCATATGAGGAAAGGAGTTTCAGAGAGGTGAGTGACTTGCTGATGGTCATCTATCTTATCTGGTCACTGGAACCAGGTCATCTGTCTCCTATTCTGGTAGAAATGGGGGCAGAGTGGGCTTGCAGGGAATGAGAGGGCATGTGCAGAGGGCAGAGCAGTTAGAGGCAAACTTCCCTGCTTCACCCTACTGGCCAGGACCTAAGCCTGCTGTGTCCAGGCCACAGGCTACATCTGAGGTCCTCCCTGAAGGCGGCCCCTAAGGTAAGGCTGAGGGTATTCTAGCTGGCCATGGAAAGGCCAGCTCAGAGCCACCAACATGGAGGCACTGAATACAAAAAGCTGGGGTTGCAATGTGTTGAATCGGCATAAAAAGTAGCACGTGGACCATGCCTGTCCTACAGAAATGCCAGAATGAGTGCACATACGTCCATTGCAGCATCGGTTCTAACAGTGCAATGCTGGAAACAACCCAAACTCTGTCAGCAGTGGGATGGGTAAACAGTGGGCAGCAGTACTGAGGTGGAAGCATCTCTGATATATGCTATTATGAGAAAAAAAGTAAGTTGCAGAAAAATCTGTATCATATGATTCCACAAAACTATACATGTCATAAGAGCCTATATAGCAAATGTCTATAAAATGCATACAGAAAGGTCTGGGAGGAGAGACTATTGACCACAGTGATCACCACTGAGGAAGGCAGTGAGGGACACTGCCAAAACAATGTATGCTTTATCTACATTATTTAAAATTTTTTAAATGAAATATACAAGTTATTAGAAATTTGACACAGAAGGGTTAAAATAACACAGGTGAAGAGCGTGTGGCCTCTGTCATTTAATTCTCACCATAAGCCTCTGCCACAGGTGGTGCATTATCATGTCCCTCACTTGCCCAGGAGACTGAGGCCACTTCACATGCCAAGAAGACAGCTCAGGTCTTCTGACTCCAAATCCCACACTCTTTCCACTGTGTGATGCCCTCGGGGGCATGGGCTGTGTGTGTGTGTGTGTGTGTGTGTGTGTGTGTGCGTGTGTGTGTGTGTGAAGGATGGAAAAGTGTGTGTGTGTGTGTGTGTGTGCGTGTGTGTGTGTGTGTGTGCGTGTGTGTGTGTGTGTGAAGGATGGAAAGATGGAAAGAGAAGCAAACAGCTCCTGGCCAAGAGCAACACAGGCTTCCTAGGGGGAGGCCCCCTGGCCCTGCTACCACCTTCTGAGCTACAGGGTGGGCTTCAGCTTTGGGGATTCTCTAGAAAAGGGACCACCTGCTGTAAATCCTGGTGCCCCAGGCTGGGCTGCCAGACAGGGTGAAGGAGCTAGGGCATAGAGGAGAGGCCTCTGAGTGGAGACCTGGGGGCCATTTCTGGCCCAGTGACAATAGAAGATACTTCTCTCATCTATATTGACCTGGGTGTCAAAAATTTAAATAGCACAGACAGCATCTGCACCCCCAGACAGGCCACTGAAAGAACAGGGTCTGGCAGGCATCTAAGCCAGAAAGCCTGGTCCAGGATGAACAGGAAGTAGCATATAAAAGTGTACGAAAGAGCCAGGCATGTGTGGTCGTGTGAGGAAGGGGATGAGTTTAATACAGCGCTTAAGAAGATAGGCTGGGCACACAGACCTGGGTTCAAGTCTTGCCTAAGTCTCCGACCTTAGGCAACTGACTATCACTAACAGGGGAGAGTTATCAATCACTGATGAAGAGCCAGGCACTTTCTAAATGTTTTACATACATTAATTCATTAAAAAGTCACAACAACCTACGAGGTAAGTATTATTATTATCCCCATTTTACAGATAAGGAAACTGAAGCACAAAGATGTTACATAATTTGATCAGTCCACACAGCTAGAATGTGGCAGAGAAAGAATTTGAACCCAGGGCCCTTGGCTCCAAATTCTGGTGTGCTAAATGACAAGGTTAACATTTACAATAAGAATAAAAGCTACCATCTACTGAGAAACTACCATGTGCCAGGTGCTAAGCTTTCTTTTTCCCTTTCACATATTATCTTATTCAGTCATTACAACAGTCTGGTGAGATAGGAAATAATAGCCCCATTTTAATGATGAGGCAACAGAGGCACAGAGAGGTCAAGTAGCTTGCCCAAGGTCACAGAGTGGTAAGAGGAT